GGGGTCTCTGCGGGGCCCTGGTGGGCTTGGCTGAGGTTGCATTGAGGTGCAGCCAGCCAGGCCCCTCGACGACCTCCGAGGCAGAAATCCTTGAAGTCGGGATTTGTCTCAGATGTTAATCATCCAACTAGAGAATATCTAAGGTGTGGAAAACGAAAAAACACACACGACCATGGAGTCAGAGATTCTAACTCATTACAGGAGTAGAAAGCCTGCCTTTCACCCCACGCTGCCCTGGATCCCAGTCTAAAGTCTTGAAAACGAAGCAAATCCTTTGGAAGGCTCTCAGACTCTGAGGCTGGGCTGGGTTTTTGGAGCAAAAGATTTTCAACCTAAGAGCAACGGGTCTTGATTGTGAGGAAGGTAGACTGGGACAAGGAGGCTGCTAGGGCAAGTGGAAACCAAGGGAGAGGTCTGTATGGGGTGGGGATGGGGGTAGATGTGTGAGGAAGGTCAGCAGGTCACGTGGAGGCTTAGATCAAAGGCCTAGAAGAAATGGTCAACTTGCTCTCCTGCAGGAGCCAAGGGAAGGTGAAGGAGCACGAATGAGGCTTTGGTGAGTGTGTAAAGGAAAGGGAGGACTCTCAGAATTAAATAAAACACAAGCTTCCCAATTAAGTTTAAATTTCAGATAACTTTTTAAAAAATCTATAAATAAGTCTCATGAAATTCTGGGAACTGGAGGAGCTCCAAGCACCAGGTGGAACTACTGCCCTTCAAGGCAGCTGATCTGACAGTGCAGGCCACTGGCTAAGCCAGGCACCTATGGGAGTTGTGGCACTCAAATAGGAATCCTGACTATGAGAATATGGGGACTGTTGCCTCAGGCTGTCTTTGCCCCATAAAGTTCACTGTCTTCACACTTGGAGCTGTGAGCTTGTGGTCAGATCGTCTAATTTCCTCATTTAAACATTTTAAAAACTGTTATGGATTAGGTGAATGTTTACGGAGAAGATCATAATTTTAAATTCAGTACACATTTTGATGCAACTCATCCATTGCAAACCCTTCCGTGTGCCATCACTTATCCTACTTCGTCCCTATATTTCTGTGAGTTTCCATTCGACCTTTTTAACTAACCCTCTGCCCTTTTGATTATAAATGGTTGATATTCTAAACAGTTCCAAACTTCTAAATGTGACAGGGCCACCTTAGTCTCTTGGGGGTGCCACCAGTCTCTCTGAACAATAAGCCTGGACACTTTTGTGATTTTTAATTTTGTTCCACATTTTTCTCCCACTCTATCCAGGACCCTCTAATGTGATCCTTTTCAGAGCTGTTGTAGTTCATCTGCTCTCAGGGTTGTCAAGACTGATGTTTGCATGGTCCCATAGTCCAGGGGACGAGTTGGTTCTATGTGTCTTTTGGTTGTTGTCACTCTTCCTTGGATGAGGAGAGGCCAGTAGGAGCACATTAGATGGCTGCTTATACACTTTTAAGACCCCAGCCCCTGTTTACCAAAGTAGGCTGTATAATATTGTCTTTACAAACTAGATCGTGCCTGTTGACCTTGCTGTCCCCTGAAACAATGGTTCTAATACCACTAGGCTCAGTAACTCATTCCTCAAAGTATTTGGTTATGTCTAAGAAGTACTCATAATTGCTTCTAGTATGCTCTACCACATACATGGATATCTTTGTAAAA